TGTCGGTTATGGCTCCTCAACCCCCTCAACCTGAAGAACTTCCCCCAATTTGCAGGTATTACGATGTTCACTGTAATTATTAATTTTGAACACCGGACGCCAAAAATGTTTAATTTACAATAAATTTATACGACGGTTTTGCATGTTGTAACAAGTTTCTTAAACCAATTTTAAAATATTATACGACACTTTGAGAAAAGTATCCTATAAACATCTATCTTAATAAGACGCTTGTTTTCAAATAAAAAAATTAATATGACGTCAAATTTCAAAACATTTATTAAAATGTCATATAAACTTACTATATATATATATATATATACATATATATATATATATATGACATACATATTAACAGTATTAATCTGCAAATGCTTATTTTTATCTCTTCCTACATATACAGACCTTGCTTTAAAAAAACTATTAATATGCAGGAACATTATAACCGAGTACTCTGACCAAATCATGAAATTGAGGTTTACTCTTCTGGAGTTGTTATCTGAGGCTCTTGGTCTAAAACCATATCACCTCAAAAGTTTGGGATGTGGTCAAGGACTTTCCGTCTTGGGTCATTACTACCCACCTTGTCCTGAACCAGAATTGACATTTGGTGCAAACTACCATACCGATTCTGGTTTCTTGACCATAGTTCTACAAGATTCATTGGGTGGCCTTCAAGTCTTACATCAAAAGCAATGGGTTAATGTCTCACCGCTTCCGGGTGCTTTAGTTGTTAATATCGCGGATCTTTTGCAGGCAAGTTTATGTTACCATAAGAAAAACTTTTACTCGTCGCATTCATGAAACGAAAATATATATTTTCTTGTCGATAAATGATGGAACTAACTTTCATCTTTTTGCACACGTAGCTCATCACGAACGATAAATTCAAAAGTGTCCATCATAGAGTATTGGCACAAAAAGGAACACCGAGGATATCGGTGGCAGCTTTCCTGGGGCCGTCTCATGAGGGGATCGAGTCAATTGTGTACAGGCCGATCAAAGAGTTGGTATCTGAAGAAAACCCTTGTGTATACAAGAACACTAGCTTGAACGAATTTATGAGGCTTCGAAGGAATGCTGAAGGAATGGATGGAACATCTGCCCTTGCTCCTTTCAAGTTGGATCCATGAAGGTCTACAAGTGTGTTTATTGCACCTAGCTTGCGAGTTTGATTCGACTTAAGTTATGGTATTTGGTGATTTCTATAATGTTGTTTATGAGTACTAAAAACGTTGTTTGTGTGTCAACTTTTATGGTATGTGGTTATTTCTAATGTTGTTTTTGAGTACTTGAAATTTTGTTTGTGATTAAACGGATGTGTCAACTTTATGGTATGTGGTGATTTTAATGTCGTTTATGAGTACTAGAACTTTTGTTTGTGTTTAGTCTAAAAGCACTAGACTCTTGTTCATCAAGGAACAGATCCTCTGGAGTCCTGAAAGCACCATGAGCAGAAACAACCGCAGTTCCAAGAAGCAAAGCAGAGATCAGTACAGATTCGACACTTGTTAGAAAGATTGCGACGATGCCCGAGACAATCAACAGGCCTAGGGTTTCACACTCCGAGAACGTACGGCCGAAGATCACCAACGACGGATCAGAGGGCCGGAAGAGGTAGAGGAAGAGCCAGGCAGCGAGGAGACCCAGGAGGATGACGAGAGAGATATATGAGATGAGATTGATATGTCTTTGTTTTAACTCATGACGTTTGATTCTCTTGGCTAATCCTATAAACTCATATCATTAACTCATGTCGGCTAACCCTCCAAACTCATGGGGTTGGTGCATTTTTGCCAACCCTTTGTTTGCAAAAAAATTATCTTTATAAAAAAAATCTTTATATATATATATATATATAGGGCTCTCTCTATATATAAGTAAGATTCACAAGAAATAATGTGTCACCCTAAGGATTGAATATTATATATTTCTTGCATTGAGGTTGAGTTTGTGTATCCCATATTGATGGAGAGATGAAATATCGACAATTGATGGTAGGTATATAAGAGGAGGTTGATGTGTCATTATTTTAACTCACTAGGTTGGATTCTCTTGCCTAATCCTATAAAGTCGTATCATTGGTTCATGTTGGCTAACCCTTTAAACTCATGGGGTTTGTTCATTTTGACGAATCCTCTATTTGCCAAAAAGTTGTCTATATAAAAAAAATCAATATATCAATACAAAAGAAAGCTATAAAATAATAGGGTGGCATCATTAAAACCAAATATTTTAAATTTCTTGCGTTGTGGTTGGATTTTGGGTATCCACAATTATTGGAAATTGATACGTCAATGAGGAAAATGAGTATATAAGAGAAATATGAGTTCCCTTTGAAAATTAAAAGGTTCATTTGGCTATATAAATCATGTTTATCTTTAAATGTTTGGTGCAATTGTCTAAACTCACGTGGTTGGATCATTTTGACTGAACTTTTAAACATACACGGTTGACTCATTTTGGCCAACCCTTTTTTGTGAAAAAATTAATCTATACTAAATATTAATTGAAGAGATAATTTTAATATGTTTTTTAAAGTAAGAAGCGGAACCGTTGATGCGGTACCCTATTAGGCCTTGGCCTAGTGGCCACCTCCTTCCGTAAATGCCTTGCCTTGGGCGTGCCCACCCTGGTTCGATTCTAGGGGAGGACAGGTTATCTTTTCCGGTGCTTGCTTATGAGGTATGACAAGTAGGGTTCACAAAATGTGGACCACGGGGGCATGAGGTCCCCGCCAATAAACCTTTTTTTTAATAATTGAATATTCTTCAATCTTGAATTGTGATTGAGTTTTATATATCTCACACTGATTGAGAGTTGAAAGATTGACAAAAATGTTGGATATGTAAAATGAGGTCGAGATGCCTTTGTGACAAATCATGAGGTTGGTTCCTCTTGGTTGATTCTCTTAACACCTGTGGTTAGAGATTTTGGTCGACCCTCCGAACACATAGGATTGGTTCATTTTGGCCTACTCTTTTTGCAAGAAGGGTTAATCGATATTAAAAATTAATTTTATATATATTCTATTTGGCTGAACTTATTCATTATTTAAACTCATAGTGCTAAACTTATTTGACTGACCCTCCTAACATAGGATTTTTGACTAATCCTCTTTTTACAAAAAAAAATCTATATTAAAAGTTAAATAAATAAGTGAATTAAATTAATATATAATGCTATAAAATATTGATGTGACAAATTAGAATTTAATATTTTCAAATCATAAATTGTGGTTGAATTTGTCTTGAATCTTAATCCATATTAATGAGAAAAAAAATTACTGCAAAATAGTAAAGTATATGAAACAAGAAGGGATGCCTTGAAATATTAGAAGAATTACAAATGAACTATGAAAATTTAATATTTTCAGTTTTGAAGTATATGGATATTGATGTGGTTCACAATTTTTTATATATTACTTGATATGTGTTATGATCACCGTGCAACACATGATGCCGAACACTAGTTATTATAAATAATAAAACCTATATAGGCTAGTTTAATATATCAAATTCAAAATGGTTTTTTCTTGAATTATGCTATTTGAAGAAAATGGTAAGTTGATTATATATACATTGTCTTAACCTAAATATTTGTTGCATTTTAATTTAACTTATTTATTAATACTAGAAGGGTACTCGTATAATGCATCGAGACACATCTCGATTTTAACGTTTCGTTTTATTCTTTATCTATGTCGATATAATTACGGTTTTATGTGGTTTTRAGAAAACAGTAATGTTTTTATTTTTGAATAAAATATCATAAAAATTTGAAAAAACTATTTAATTTTTTTATTATAATTTTGAACTATATAATTTTATTCTTGTTTTATGTAATTTTTTTAATTCAAATTTTTTATCATAATTTAATTTAATGTTACAAAGTAATTTAATTTAAATTTAATAATATAATTTTTTATAAAGATAATAATTCAGTATTATGTTAGAACTCAATAATTATCCTAATTATATTTTATATTTAAAATGAAATGATTATCTTGTATTTAATTATGTTTATCTGCGGTTAGTTACACAAATTCAAACATGGAGCTTTAATAAGTTGTACTTATACACAATTTACTTGTAATCTTGAATTTTAAGTAATATGTATCAATAAATTATACTTCGTGCATAAAAATTAATTTTTAAGAGTTTTTTTTGTCAAATACTTTATAATATAATATAGATAAGTTACAATGAAGCTTGAAATAATTTGCTTTAATTTGTCACGTTATTCCTCAACCATGACATGCATTTTTATCTGTGCGTTCTCTCATGGTCTGCTTTGGCTTTCCACATTTTTAACATTTTATGTTATGATACTTGTAACATTCCCGTCCCCATGGTCCGGAACGGGCGGTGTTACTAACGGAACTTAATTCTAAGACACAAACATTGCAGAGCTATTAATAAACTCCAAACGTAGATTAACTTCTAAAACATGCTTTACAATCCAAAATATTACATTCTATCAACTATTTATAAGTTTAGAATATTATACATCTACCAACGAGTTTACCAACTTCAAAAAGTCAAACGCTCGATCTCAAGTCACGTCCCTTATCAAAATCACTTGGAACCTGCCATGTCAGAAAACAAGAACACAGCTAAGCACATGGCTCAATGAACAGATTGTATATAAACTTGAAATAATAATAYGTAACATCGATAATAAAGCGGAAGACTTAAAAATCAATGAAACTGAATTCATAGAAAATCAAGACGTTTCACADTTYTYRTTTCAAAACATCATTTAAACACAATCCGTCAATTCCTGTAGTGTTCGTGGGGTGGCCAAACCACACGAACTATCGGGCCGGCGTGCGGGAACACACCCCGATTCGCCCGTGAATTTAACCACGGTCACATGGTGGGTAATCCTAGGATCGATCCATCCGCCCTGGAACCAATAAAATCGGCCTAGTCCACAAGGTGGGTTCATGTAGGCCACTATTGGGCCTAACTTTGTGGACCGAGTTCACCTGCAGGACGCCATGACTACAAAGCCGCCATAGAAGGCATCCCAAATAATGCGCCCATTAATTGGGTTGTTCTGAAAACCAATAAAA